CCCACCCCCCCGCCCTTTTCTTTGTGACTTTTCAGTGGGATAAGATCTCTAACTTCTTCTGTAACTGTAACAGCACAAGTGCTAGCACAAGAGAAATGCCAAGAGCACGTAGCCTGGGGAAGTTCATTTTTCATTCTTAGCCCTCAGAGTGGCCAAAACCAACTGAAAAAAACTAGCCTTAGAAAGACTAGCAATGAACTGCAATTCAAATGACTACATGTCCTCATCCTCCTGGTCTGTGGACAAGTGTCTGGGATGGGCAATGAAAGCTGTTCTTACCACTGGCTATGGTGATGCTTCCAGCTGTTATCCTAATGGGGCATGAGAAGTGATCCAAAAGCCTTCCTAGGAACACATCCTTCACCAAAATTGCCCCTCAAAGATGGTCCTCTACCTTTTTTCTCTGTTTCATTTTAAAAAAATATTAAACACGGAGGGAAGTGAGTGTGCAAAATGCTTGTTTAACATTGTAATTGTCTAGTGATGCCCTTTAACATCCTTCCAAAACACAGAAAATTAATTCATAAAGAATTAAAAAACTTTGGAACACAAAGAAATGCATTTTCAAAGTAATTTCATCTCTTGAATGAAGGTTAGAGGAAAAGATAAAACATTTCAAAACCATTAATAGGATTTCTTCCCACGCAAAACAGCCAAACTCCAGTGGCTTAACTCTACAAACACTAGGCTTAACTCCAGTGTTTATGATTTGCACAGCAGTATCTGGAATGATAGTACTCAACACATCCCCTTCCAGACCTGCCATGTTTACAGCAGAAAATAATCCTCTTTTTCACACAGAGCAAAACGTTTTTGTAGTGCTCTGTGCAGCGTCATTGAATTAAGTGTGTGTATTCAGAGTAATAACAAAGCTTTGTTTCTGATGTTGAGAACCAGTTTGTGGTGTTCTTCACATTGAAATATTACCAAGGAATTATGTCAGTGCTCATGTTTAGAATTGAAACACTTGTAATAGTGAAAAAAGTAACTTGCACATACCTTTCTTTGATTACAGAGGCTCTCAAGCTGTCAAGAGCTACAGATTGCTGAGTAGACCCACATTTCAAGTTTTAGAGCCTGACAGCAGAGAGCTGTGCATCTTCCAGCAGTTCACTTTACTCCTTCCACAAGGGTTTCTGAATAAAATCCATTTTTGTCATACAGTTACCTAACCTTGTAAAATCTCATTTTACTGCAGTGCTCCCTGAAGCATATTTGTAATGCAGCATTTCTGCTTTACTTTGGTTTTAGTACATCTCAAATGTTTTTAGTGATCAAATTAGAGACTGCAGTTAAAGATGGGTAGCAAACAGAGCCTAATAGCTTTGAAACACAAACATGATTGTTAAGTATGTTTCAACAAAATGCAGTTTGGAAGGAAAACAGTGTACCAACACACATAATCTGTATTTCCCTATATAAAGTGGAAATGCTACATATTTTAAGAATGGGGTTTAAAGTGTGACTCTCTTAACATTATAGTTAGTTGTAGCATAAGAAGATCCATCTGTGATGTGTGGGCAGTGGAAAGGGTATTAGAAAACAAGCCAGGAGAGTATTTTGGATTACTTCCTTTGTTTTAATTCTTTTCTCTTACTTTGTTGATGAACGATCTCAAAAAAAAATCTGTTTTATAAAATCTATTTTTATGTTTATCTTTTAAATCTAATTGAAGTTACACTAAGTAATATGACTGTAACTGATTATTTTTTAAACTACTGTTATAGATTTTGGTTGTTTTATTTGCACAGTCTTTTAATTTGCTCTTTATTCTAGCATGGGAGCATATTTGTCTTGGTGATGTATCCCTGGAAGATAAGAGGCACCTTCATTTCAATCAAATCATGTGATGTGTTAAACTTACATAAGAAACACCTGGAAATGAGCAGTACTTCAGAGCAGATCATCCAGAACAGTTTTGGCTCTCAGTCAGACTCAGTGAAATACATTGTGCAATAGCAAAGTATATAATTTCTTAGTTCATTTTACATATGTGCCACCGAATACTGTAGAAATACACTACTAGTGAGTGTATCACAAGATTTATTGAGTGTGTAGTAATTGGAATGGTTTTCTTCAGTTCCAGAATTGATGTCATATAAATATATATATAATGCAAATACCATAAATATAGAGAGTTATCTAAAAGTATTAAAATGTACTTTAGCTCTACAGATAGAGAATGGTTTACTAAGTGAAAGGAGAGAAGGAGACTACGGATAGTTAAGATATATATACATTTATATACATATAGTGCATATACTTATACTTGAATGACGTAAATGGAGTATAGATAATTTTTTTAATATACAACTCCATTTAGTATAGAATTCCATCGACCCATAAAGGAGGATATTTACATGAAGGATATTTGACACCATTTAATTATATTGTCATCACTGTAGCAAACAGTTACTTTTCCCTTGTCTATTTCAATGGTACTTTAAAAGTGAAGAAAATAATAGTTTGAAATGAACTGATAAAACAATCAGCTTACATATTAAAAGTAATTAAAGGTACTTTCAGGAGAAAAACAACTATATAATTTATGATATCTAAATATTGGTGGTAAAAACTTGAGAAGAAAATAGTTAAGAAGGGCTCTTGAGAATACAAAAGTGTTGAAATCTGTAGTGAGAAACTCACCAATGCATTAAAGTAGTAACTCAAATAGTATATTCCAAAATGATTATATAGTTAAATGATGCTATATTGAACAATGCCTTTTTCACAGCAAGTATCAATAAAGAGCTCCTCCATAAATGAGTATTAAAGGAGGTGCTCTGAGCATTATGAGCTGTAATTGAAATCCCTTACAGTGCAGAGATAGGTCATCAAAGTTTGAAATAGTTAAAAACAAACCTCTATGATATTACATAAAGGACATACATCCTTATAACTGAAGTCTGTGTCTTCACAAGTCTCTTTAAGACTATGTCTTGTACACATTAACATTTGTAAGGGTTCTCACTGTATAAAGCCTTCACTCTGGAATTTCCAGATTAAGCTGTTTAATAGTGGCAACCTAAACTTTGGTTTCTTTCTGCTTCTTCTGTGGGCTCATATATTATTTTATGAAACAAATGTCTGAAGTTTCAAACACATCTTAAGAAATACTTCCCTCATTACTTAAAAAGATAAAATTAGGATTCTTAAAAACCGTGGGATCCAAAAATCCCTGCTGGGTTGGGTGGAATGCTCCAGCTGAGATAATATAATGGTCTGTTTCTCAAGGGAGATACTTACCAGTGGGTGACCTAGATTGGTTAAATATAATTTTGAGCATATCTGCATTTCAGTATAAAATACTAGGTCCTAAAATATGCATATATGTTGCAGGTTTAACAGAAAATACGTTTCTCTTTATGATATATGTGGTCTTAAAGAATTGAGTACTGTTGTGCTGACAAAGCTACTTGTTTTACAGTTGCAATTCAAAATGCAGTTCAGATTTAGTTGAGATTATTTACTCTTTGCTTCCATTTTTTTGCAGTAGAATCGTGCAATTATAATCATTCAGGCACCCAGCTGTTTGTATCCCTGTCTCTCTGACATGTTTTTATAAATGATCTCTTTTGTAAGAAATTAAGTAGGTCAATCAAATTCCAGCATGCTATGAATCAAATGTCCCAGATTTATTTCAGTGCAAGCCTTTAATGTTCAGATTGTCCTTTACTGAGTCATGCATGATCAGCAATGGCAGGACATACAGAAACTCCCTGAACTTGGGCAATCAAGATAAAGGTCAGGACACTCACAGTCCATTTCTCTTCTACTTTTCTTGCTTTCTCAAAAAGGACAAAGATTCAGTGCAGAGCCGTGGCACCATTACTGTTGCCAATCACAAAGTTTCTAGTATTGGTATCAAGAAGTTCCTGACTTTTGTTTTACTGATTAGCTAACAGAAGAGGTCCTTGTGGGAGTCAGTTATGTTTTTAGATACATTTTATAGAGTTTATTATGATATCTAGAATGTAGGAAGCATGTTATGTTTTTAGAGTAGGTGTCTCGAACAAAATCATTTGGACGCTCAGGGTATCCATTCTCCCCATCTCTTCTGCCTTCTGCTTGTTATCCTCAAAGGGTTATGCCCACAGTAGGCTTTTACTTAGATTGTAAAGTTCTGAGGACAGAACCAGACTTTTGCTTTGTGTATATGTATGTATGCATGCATGTGTGTGTGTATTATCTAGCACTGAAGAGTCCTAGACTATGCTCTGCATAAAATCAAAATACAGATAGCAAATAATAACGATGCATGGTCTCAGCTGTGGTTATCTGTTATCATTGCTGCTCTGTGTCCTTTCTTCTCCAAACTGGTGAACACAATTGCCATTTGGTGGCCATGTTCCTAATTAGTCCTGAGCACATACAAGCTTTATGTCAAATGCTTTAAATCTTTTGTTAGCTGTCCTTTATATAATTAAAATCAGTGCATGTAAGAATACTTTTTTTTTACCCTTTCTGTATCCATTCTCTGTACATATCCTCCTAATTGTTTTTCTCTTTCTACTTTTTGAGCATTTTCCCTGTGCAACACTAACAAATATATTATTTGCTGTCATGTTCTTCCTTTCTTAGTTTTAAAAAGGAGTCTGCAAAACATATGTATCCATCTCTAGTATCTTGGTTGGAGCTTATTCAGAATCCTAAAATAACTGCATTTTGTCTTTCTAATTTGACCTTTTTTTAATGCTACAATAAGAGAATGGAGCTCCGGACCAGGAAGGCAGCTGAATGATTTGCCCTGACTGTGTAGGGCTATCAGAGTTGGTCATTGTTTCTTAAAAAGAGTTTTGACATCTTCATGTACAATGAATCCCCAGCCTTGGAGATACTCAGAAGCCGTCTGGACATGGTCCTGGGCAACTGGCTGTAGGTGACCCTGCTTGAGCAGGAGGGTTGGACCAAATGACATCCGCAGGTCCCTTCCAACCTCAACCATTCTGCATTTCTGTGAATCTCTAACTGCATGTCTCATCTATCCTGTTCATGACTGACTTCTCCACTTCTGAGGGTGGATATTGCCTCAAAAGACCCGTAGCTGATTCTGTTCAGAAATGTATCCCTTCTCAGTATATAATGTCTCAATGTATCCTCCTCCAGATCAATTCTACGTTAATGAGTCTCAACTCATGTATAAAGTTAGTGTCAGAGAACCTATATGCAACATATGTTAACCTGTCCTTTCTCTCACTCTCGCCTGAAATCCTTACTTCAAATCCAGTCATGCATTCTCATACCCATGCCACAATAACTGAGGTTTAATCACTTCAAAATTCAGCTGGATTCTGTGAAAATCTAGCTTTTTGAGAGAGAGAGAGTCAATGTTAGGCTAGTTCATCATTTGAACATGGCCTCCAACTGTAATGGAGAACTCTGGAGATACTGTCTTTTAGATTTTGAAATGTACAAAGATCATACTATAAATATTGCATAATTACAGTGTTTCCGTATAGCTTTTCATGGTCATTGGTCTGCGCAATGAGTAAATTTTGTCACATGTTGCCTCACAGTTGAGATGATGATCAGTAACTAACTGAAAAATACCGCTAGACATAAATTTTCTTTCTTCTTCTCACAGCCATATGAGGGGCTAAGACTTCAGGACCTGCGAAGGCTTAAGGATATGCTCATCGTGGAATCTGCTGACATGCTCCAAGCCCCGCTCTTTACTGCAGAAGCTCTACTTCGGGCACATGGTAATCCAAAACCTTAAAGACTAAAGAAACTGTTTTCAGCAAAATCAAAATTGCAGTTGAATGTTTACTACTTTTTATTTCCAAGTAAAAGATTAGTAACAGTTAATCACATACCAGGAAACGGCTCACACAGTACTTCAGAAAGAACTACAGCTGCAGTTTGTCAAAAAGCATTGAGTCAGACAGGGAAGCTGATGGGAACTATAATGGTAGACATTTTAACTTAAGCAATGTGGAGGAACAGAGCTTTCCTATTCTAGTGAGAGACACAGAAGTAGAACGTCCATGGTTTTGTGTGTGAAAAGTCAAATTCATTATACATATTTTTGTCAGACCATTGGTTTTCTGCCACTATATATTTGTGTATAAAACTGGATCCAAATTTTTTTTTTTTGGTTGCAATAAAAGCAGTCTGACCGTTGTAATAATGGTTGGAAATTGCCTTGGGGTTTAAAGCATATAAGTATATGTCCCTTAAAGGATTTTTATAGTTACTCTTTTAATACAGGGTATACTTTTCCATGTGTATATCTGTAATGAGTTTAATTTCACTGAAATCAGTCTGTGCTCTTGTTGTGTAATTTAAACTGGGGTTGTCAGAATGGGGATATACTGAATTCAGTGTGTTTGCTCCAGACAAAAGTATCTCTGAAACCCGGTAGAAGCTTTAGGCTTTGATTCAGTGATTCAAAACTTATGCTTACTGAAGCATCTGCATTGTCACTGTATGCCAAAGGAACTACTCAGGCAGTTAATGGTTTGCATGCTCATCACTATATTGCTGGATTAAACTTTCATACCCTGTTATTTTTCTGGACTGCTTGTAAAAATAAAAGGTGAGGGAAAAGTGAAATAGGAAAGCATTATTTTAAACCCACAACATTTGGCAGACTTTCATGAGAAAGTGTGGTACCTGAATTTCAGCTCTTTTGCATTATTTTCAATAGTTTGTATTTGTGTTCTTTTTAACATTGAATTAAGTCAATATGAACTTGTGCCAGTCTGATGATATTTAAGGTACAGTCTTTGCGTATATGTTTTTTCAATGTTGATTATTTGTTTAATTCTCATAATGTTTTTATAATATATGCAATATCTGAATGCTATTTTGGATTCTTAGAATACTCTCATTAAGTCTAAGTATTACTAAATATTTGACTCAGTGGTTAGGCAGATTCTGTAACCTGTGCAGATATTTTGAAGAAGAAAATGATGGTGATGCTGTTCAAACTCACAGTACAGTCTATAATAAGTCCAAAAGCAGTGAGGTTGATGTAAACTGTGGAGAAATGTCTGCCAACATCTAGCAAGCAGGAATTGAAAGTTGAGAAGAAATCGGTCTGTGTTGGAAAGGTCATTCTACTGAGGTTGCCTTAGTGATGTAGTGGTAACAATGCAAGTGGCCAGTGCAGAGAAAGTAGCACAGACAATTTGCAACTCACGAGAAAGTCAACTATTTTGCCTGTAGCTGTAGTCATACACTGCAAAGTAATCGAAGAGAATTTGGTTTATTTGAAATGAAGATGTAGAATTGCTTCAGCCTAGTAAAGGGAATAACTGAGCTATTTACAAAGGCTTAGAGAATTGGGAAGCATCAAATGCCAAATTGTAATGTTTTTGCATTTAGTCTTGAAATTCATGAAAGAATAATGTGAAATCTTAACTTAATTCACACTTAATATATGAAAAGCATGTTTTAAATTCTTGGAAATATCATTCCCATACATACTCTTAATAGTTTACATACATGTAATATTTAATCCAACAAACTTTGCTTTCTTTTATTGTACAAATGTATCAATTTACTGACACAGACTGTAAGAGTTAAAAGTGTATTTTTCTTTTTTTTTTTTTTTAAATTAAAAGACAGAAGTAAAGTTAGAGCCAAGATAAAAAAAATGTTATTATGGCAGTCATGTAAATAAGTAACTACAGTTTATCTACAAGTGTTTTTTTAACGTTGTTCCTGTTTCAGTCAGCTCCCTTCTGAAAGATTACAAGCTCAGGGTAATTTGAAAAATGCTGATAAAATTTATAATTTTTGAACTGTAAATATGTTCAGGATCCATGTCTTTAAAAAAAAGAAATTAAACTAACCCATGATATGTTTTAGCTTAGATATGTAAGCACCTGATCAGGAAATCATCTCCACCTCAAAGGTTTTTTTTCATATTAGGAAGGAATAGATTTTGGTATGATAGCAATCATTATTTGACAGGGGCAATATTTTTACTAAGTTCAGTGCTTATCGGGGTTTTTTCCAGCATTAATACAATATAGGAATACTATTTATCTTTTGCTTATAAAATCTAAAATTCAATAAAATTTTATTATTCAATAAAAATAACACAGATTATTTGGTTAGTAACATTGAGTTTCCTGTGGGAGTACCTAACATTAAAAAAACCCCAAACTTTAAAATACTTATTTAAAGCAATAGGAAAAAATTCAGAAATTTCCCTTTCCTTCTGAAATTCTAGTTCATCTGGTCTGTCCATAGTGTTGATGCTTTTAGATATAAATCTATACAGGAATTTGATTGATTTATATTTATATGAGAACTTTTGGGTATTTTTAATAGAAAAAAATCACTATTCTTAGGATACCTTTAGTATTACTCTTAGGAATCAGAAACAGAAAACATTTCGAACAATGATTAAGAAAGATTTGATTTAGTTTTAAGATGTTCATACATAATGCAATTTGTTTCACTAGTTCTTTTTTGTATATAGATGGGCAATGTTCATTATGAATAAAAGTAAAGCATTCAGTAACACTTAATTATAGAATAAATATGTAGTAAGAATATATAGAAATATTTTTTGTAATCAGGAGGGGGTTTTTTTCTTTTTTTTTCCCCAGAAGTACATCACTTTTATGTGCATATATAAAGACTGGTAACTCATTATGTTACAAATCTTTTTGTAATCCAGTTGTATCTTAGTCTTCTTCCTTTGTTTGTAGCACTTGGCTTCATCTTTTTAAAGAAACACAGTAGATAAAAGTGAATCCATATTGAACAATTACTTTTTTCAAAGAAATGGAAAATACTGAAAATTCTCTGGTGCAAGGACTGTTATATTTTGATCTGTCCTTACAATTCATTGCAGTTCTGGTTTCTGATTGAATCTCCTAGCTACTACAATTGCTGTAAATAAATAAATTGCTGTAAATAAATAAATAAATAAAATTATTTAAGACTAGTATTACAGGGAAAAGGGAAGCTTGCGATGCAATTATTTACAGAAATACATTGTATTATGTGTTGTCTTAGAATGTGTTCTGTAAATTTTAATGTCTAAAGTTCCGTTCACTTACACTTTGTCATAATTTTTTATTTCTAAAATTTTTAGCTTAATGTTTATATATTCTTTTGAGGATGTAAGTTACAAAATATATTTTGAACATTGTCAGCTGCATAATTTCCCATATCTGTATATTTATTGAAGACTGGGACAGGGAGAAGTTACTTGAAGCATGGATGTCTAATCCGGAGAACTGCTGCCAGCGTTCAGGGGTTCAGATGCCAACTCCCCCTCCAAGTGGATACAATGCGTGGGATACACTCCCTTCTCCACGAACTCCACGCACTACTCGCTCATCTGTAACTTCCCCTGATGAAATCAGCCCCTCGCCAGGAGACATTGAGACAACTGTGGTAAGTTTATAAATAGATCTGAAACTAGCAGGGCAGAAGAACTTATTTCTAAACATAGCGCACCTATGCGGACAGGAGAGCTGTGTTGTCATCTCATTCTGAAAATATGTTTGTCAATGTGTAAAGTGTTTCTCTTTCCAAAAGTGGTGAACAGAGAAGTTGACACCTTAAACATTCTATATAAGAACACAATCGAGCATCTAGCTAATATAAAGCACTCTGTTTTCACCGTGACTGTCACTCACAAAGTAGCATTTTAGCCAGCTAGAGTCGCATCAGTGCATTTGGCTCTTTTGAGGTTCTCTTCTCATCTCATGCTTACCAGGATGTTCGCTTTTATATCCATTTCCCTGAATGTACTCAATGCTGTGAACCCTGACTTTCGAAAATTTTTTCTTCAGGAAACAAAATTCTCTTTGTCTGCATTTTGAAATGTCAGCCCACTAGTGTACTGTAAGCTTGTAATTACTTTTACTATGTGTGGGCTGCTTCAAGCAGTTTACAAGGCTATTGCAAATTTGAAATATGAAAGTGCCTTTCATTAAAATCAGTGTGGTTCTTTTGGAAGACAGACTTCTCTTTTTAATAATCTGCAGCTGCAGCATTATAAAACTTTTGCTCCATGACCTAAGCATTTTTCTAGAATATTATATGCAGTCTTGCAAAGGGATCATGACTAGATCTCACCTTAAAATTAAGATTTTGTATTCCTGCATAGAAATCTTTTATTTCTTTAGTTGTAAAATGCTGAAAAGGAAGCTATATAGAAGGAATAATGTTATTGTACATTTATTTACATTAGCAGTTAAATACCATCCAGGAATATTTCCTACTTAAAATGTGTAATCAAAGATTACATGTCTTCAGTTTTACATTGTATGTTTTGTTTTCATTGATGATCCATAAGCCAGGAATGCAGGTTTGGATAATGATTGCCATTCTAGATCTACTGTGTCTAAATCCAAATCCAGAGTTATGCATTTAGTATTCATGTTCATTTAAAAATCTTACAAAGAGCTATCAAAATAATATTTTCAAAATGTTGTTTATGAAATAATACAGCTTTTTCTGAAGTCTCTTATTTTGCAGGAAAATGAAAACTAAAAGGAATAGATAAAATAAAACTGCAAACTATAAAGCTCCTTTTCAGACTTTGCATTTACATCCTATCTTAGAATTAAAACTGTTCCAGGAAGTGTTCCTGTGCTTGACATTTTGAAGTTAGGGCTTCATGAAATTTCTTCTTTAAAGTTACATTTTAAACAAAATTGAAAACTCATAAAAATTTAGTAGTGGACATTTTTGATGCATTGTCAACTTCTAAACTGTTTAATTTTGGCAAGACAATAAGCTGAAATGACTGAAACAACAATAAATGCCTTCATCAAGTTTTGCACTTTAAAGGCTGACTTTTTTGGTGTGGTTTGGTTTTGTTTTGGGTGTAACACAAGTGCTTTTAAAAAGTTGCATAGCATAGGCTAACTTTTTGAAAATGTCCTATGTGTGTATAATATCTAATGTATTGAAAGCTGAGGTAAATTTTCATGGAATCTTTGTTCCAATGGAAAGAAAAATCTATTTGTACTCCTTGAAGAATATGAATATTTATTTTCACACCTAACCACAAGCAATGAGTAGTTTCATCCCTATGCTTTAAATGTTTTCAGAGTAAGGGTCTCAATATTCAATGTTATTTTTTCTACAGTACCTAGTTGTATAAAATTCAGCAGTGGTATCTTCCGTTGGAATATTTGTAACTTATTTTATTATTTATTTTGATTGAAAACCTCCAAGTATTTAAAAAACCAGTATTTATGTAGAGTATTACGTAAAATTATTTGCTGCTGTTGCACAACCATATTGCTCCACCTTGATTTGGACCTGATTGTGTGAGATGCTAAACACTTCCTGTAGCCTCTGTCATCTCCAAACTCCATTTCTGGCTGTCTGTGAAGCTGATGAAAAATTCAGGTCCATTTTGTCCCTAGAATTCTAACTCTGAGGTCCTGGCACTGTGCACAGTGAAGCACTTATTGAGCTAGGGGACATGATGGAAGGCACCCCAAAATGGGCAGTTTGGATAAGGAGGTATAGAAACAGTGATACCTAATCTTTCCCATTTCTATTTCTATAGCTTAAATTACTTTTTTTCTGGTTACAGTTAGATTTTTTCCCCTACTGAGTGCTCTACATTTTTGCTGAGACTTTTCCAGCGTAGCATGTCCTGCTAACAATATGCAAGGCTTTAGAGTATTTCTTAATCAGAAGTGTTTTTTTCATCTACAGTGTGACATTTGTATGTGTAATATTTCTGTGTTTGAAGACCCAGTGGATATGCCTTGTGGACATGACTTCTGCAGGGCATGCTGGGAGGCGTGAGTATATGTACTTTTCTATCTTTTGACAAGCTTTCATACTTGCCATTTTGAAGAGGAAAGGACAGAGACCATAAACAGCTAATGTTTGGCTTTCGAAGAGTTGCTGGTTTGACCCTATCGAATATTTAAGTTGTCACTCAGTGTCCATCAACTGATTTAGGCTACATAATGTTCATTTTGTTCCTGATTCAACAAAACTCTTAAGCAGATGTTTCAAGCCTGTGTGTAAATAGATGAACCTACTCTTGATTTGCTCAGTATGTGTGTGGTGTTGGTGGCATTGGGGTTTACACTTTCTAAATTAAGCACATGATTAATTCCATCTCTTAGTTTAGCACACTAAACTTAGACATCATAAATCCATTTCCAGTCAGAAAAACAATTAAAATGTTTTCTTACGTTGATGGTTAATAACTGAGGAGTAGATTTAGCTTAAAAGTTCTAGTAGTGTAATGTTCTTGTTACTTCATAATTTTTTGGAAGTCAGAATAGTCATGCTAGTAAAAAACTCAGACCTGGATAATTATAGTAGTATAAATATTTATCACACTTCCCAAGAATAATTATATCTGTATGCAGTACCTTTATATTAATCTTTGTGCCCATTCAGGGGATTGTACTGCTTGAATTGTACCACTATAATGTCTTGTTGTAGTGTGATATTAGCACAACTAGTCCATCTGCAGATCAGCCCAATTTGTATGAAGCCATTCCTCCTATGTTAAGGAAGAGCACTTTCTCTTCCATATGAGCTTTTAGACGGCAGTTTTTTTCAGTGGCAAGAAAATTAATAGTCATGCTTCTGTTGTCTTGCAAATTGTAATGCAGCACTGGCTTGACATGGTGCTTCTAATTTGGGTGCTGGACTATGTGTACTGTGATTTGTGCATGCATGGAGAGCTACAGTTCAATGTCAAGCAAGCATTTGCAGTGGCACATCTAGGGTGGAGTTTGTCTTTCTGAGCCAGCCATTTCTAAGTTAACTTGGGAGCATAGCCAGGACTGAGTTATCCCATTCTAAGATAGGAATCTAAGATGTGATGAATTGGCAAGTCTCTCTACCTTAAGTGTTAAAGGATCCCAGGTGACTAACTTAGAATAACTGCCTCTTTTAGATGATTGAAGTTAGATATCTGAATATCGTCTTTGATGTCAAATTAGTAAGTAAGTTACAGTTTTTTAAATTAAGCAACCTTGTGCACTGTTAGTTAAAGTCCAGCTTTCAGCAGATTTCTGAGCTCGTTATGTTTTGCATTGTGATGCGTAGGGACTATAAATGTCTCCATTTTGAAATTTGTTTCCAAGAGCAGACCTATTTTGACTGCCATAGTTGTAAAAGTTAATTGCATATCAAATTAATTATTTCCTAGTTTAATTACAGTTACATGTTTCATTTCTGATTTAAGTTAGAAGTAATGCTTAGTTTAATTAAATATTGCAGAGCTGTCTCTGATAAATGGCAAGAATGGAAAAAAAAAACATGTAGGGCTAAGCATAGCTGATGCTGCTTACTTTTGAACCATGACAGTGTTCCTTTATTTTTTTTAATTATGCTGTTTATCAAATTTGTAGCCCTTTTGAGCAGAAAGGGGTAGTTCCTATTCTTTGTTTAAAAATTGATTAATGTGAATATCAGTGAACCTAGTACAAAGTATTCAGCAACATTTTAATTTTTACTTTTTATTCACAACCACCGACTGACAAAATTCTGGCAGATTTTTGAATCTGAAAATTCAGGAGGGTGAAGCTCACAACATTTTTTGCCCAGCATATGATTGTTTCCAGCTTGTGCCTGTAGACATCATAGAAAGTGTGGTTTCCAAGGAGATGGACAAAAGATACCTTCAATTTGACATTAAGGTAAATTATCAAACTGTTCTTGTACTCTTGAATTGTATTTCATTTTATAAAAAATACTTACAACTTCTATGTGAAATGCTGCAATATATCTGTAACGTTCCAAGTAGAAATTCATAAATTAATATGTACACTGAATTATTGGCTGTCCTATGTGCCATAATACCAATGTTTCATATACCACTGAGAAAAAAGAAAGAACGTTTTATTTATTCCTTAAGCACGAATGCAATACTTCCATAATGTGTAACCTAATGCAGTATCCATAAAATTACTTGATCAAACTAATGTTCATAACAGGTGATATGCAGCTTTTAATCAACCAGACTTGTTTGTGTGGCAAACTAAAATTTTTAAGAGTTTTGGGATTATTTTTAATACTGAGAGACTCTTTACATTCAGGAATAGTACCTGTTTCCATTTAAAAAATGTATTAGTACAAGTGAATTACTTAAATTTTTTTTCATCTACTGCTTGATATGATTGCTATATACAGGAAGAGAAGTAGGAAAACCTTGCCTTGATTTTCCTGTTTGATTTTTTTAATGTGTTTATTTCCATCTTTGCAACTTGTTTTTAAAAGCAATCTTTTAATTCACCTTTTTTCTTTTATAGTAGTGTAGTAATGAAATAGTCTTTGAGATAATGTGCTACTTTATCAGTGGTGGCAGGGCAAAAGAAAGTAGAGAAATATTTTTTCATTTACAATACAATACTTTCTCTGTGTGACAAGTCTCTTTAATACAGAGTAACAGAGTCTTACAGAGTAAGATGCAAATTAAATTACCAGATCTGATTAATCTTTTACATCTTTATATTTCAAGTGACTGGTGATCAGCATAGGTTTGAGCAAAGTAGTGAAAGTTCCTTTTCCTCTTCATTTATTAGATGTAAGTTTTATAAAAGAAGACCTGCTACATTAACCAGAAAAGTTGGGAGGTAAATTCCTAAGGTAGTCTAGTTCTGATTTCAAGTTTATTGCGAGTGGGATATATTGTGGGATTTTTGTTTTAATCAATAAGGTTTTAATTCTTTTCAACTACAAGAGTCAGTTCTGTTAATGAGTGTATTGCCAGTGCATATATAGTAGAAGTTTACAGTAAGCCATATCCCAAAAAAATTGACTTGCACACATTGAACATTTTGTTTGGGTTGCAAGTCATTTGCATTTTAGCATAAGTCTGGAGTACTGTTGTTACTTAAAAAAAAATACCATTTTTAAGGTGGAGATTAAATTATTCCCTTTTTATAACTATTTTTAAAAGCCTGTCAAAGTAGCTACAAGATTGTCCTTATGCTTTTTGGCTTTGTTCCTTCAAAGGAAGATTATGAATACAGATTGGTTTATATCAATGATGAAATCTCATGTTATGTCATAAAATACTTTCCTTTTTTCCTTTTTTTATCCCCCAGGCCTTTGTTGAAAATAATCCTGCTATTAAATGGTGTCCAATACCAGGCTGTGAAAGAGCAGTAAGGCTAACGAGACAAGGATCAAATTCAACAGGATCAGACACACTTAGCTTTCCTATGCTAAAAGCACCTGCTGTAGATTGTGGAAAAGGACATCTTTTCTGCTGGTTGGTACTAGAAACTTACCTGCGTCTACATAAACTCACAGTCACTGCTATTCCAGAGGTTAATTAAAAAGTCCCACTTAGCAATGAGAATGCAAGAAAAATCTGTATGGGATGGTATAAGACTGTACTGTCCTGTATCCATGTACTAAATAAACTCAGGTGCACAAATATTTTAGTATTTTGGGGCACAGCAAAGGTTTATAATATTGTTTTACTAATTATTGATTCTGTTAGATGCAAAACAGCGGTACAGAGTGTTGTTATGTTCTATTCTGAGGGGACAGAGGAGAAGCAGGATATTGCTGGAGGGATTTTTGTGTCTGCTCTGGATAGTCATAGTGTAATTGAAACATGGCACATTCGGAATTGTAGTACGGGATATCAGCAATGTTTAGCTCTTTCTGAATTTTGGTAGAATCACATCAAAGAAGCTGGAGTTTAAACAGGACTATGAAGGACCTTTTGCTTCATATATAGCTATTCTGTTTGCAGGATCACTCCAATCATTGTTTCACATTACGGTCAGCACTTTTTCTTTATGTTATCTTCTTTTGAGTCTTAACACGAATACAAGCTTGAGAGGAGTAAAAAGCCGTAAGATATTTTAAAAAAATCCCTCAGATTGCCTGTCTTCAGCACTTCCAAGGAAAGGACAACAACAGTATCAACAAAAGCAAAAAAGTGGTGGGATATTTTTCTGAAGTGCAGAGCAAAGCCCTATCCTAGTTCCTTGAGATTATCCATCTGACAATTTATTACTATTGTAGTGGGACATCCTTTTCACTGTTGGAAAAGCAAAAAGGGTCAACCAAAATATAGACAGACAAGCTGAGTAATCTTTTAGTTCTTTCCCCACATGAATGGAAAGGAAGAAGGAACAAGAGGAAACTAGACATAATGAAACAACCACAAAAGCCAGAAATCAGAATTTCTTGGGAAGGAGATTGTTCACAATGGATGGAGAACTCGGAAGGAAACAAATCCTGTGAAAACAAACCAGAAAATATTTTTACCAGGGAACATATAACAAACCGTAGTACTATTCCATAAGAAGGTACCATCCTCTCATCCTTACTTCTGATTACAGAGAATCAATTTTTCTGTTAACCTGAAGGACAGAGCTTGAGACCACTTTAGTGTAACATTGGCATGGTCCTTCAGACATTGGCAGCTTCTGCCTCCTTTACATGGGCTGAATGTACTAGTTCCCCAGAATGTCCTCTGAGTGTGAAAATGTCTTCTGAGTGCCTATTTTTTATGAGAAATGTCTTTTTAATGTTTCCTGATAATATTTCTGAATGTTCTTTTTATGTTAATGCTTTGAGATGCTGCACAAGCAAATATGGTTAAGGTCTTGAAAAAAACCTCATTTTAGCAGCAAAATGTCCAAGAAGGCCTTTCCAAGGCCTTTTTTTCATCCCCACAAAAGTGAATGAAGAGTTTCAGCAACGGCAAGAAAGTTCTGCTAGCAACCAAAGCATCCTGCAGTACTATAAATCAGAACCATTTGCTGAGGACAGCCAGATTAGTCTTACAGTACAAAAACCCTGTGCCTGAATGAGTTCATCTGGAGAAAAAGAAAGTGTGTTCTCAGTTCAGAGAGTTTTCATCATTACTGTATGCTTAAAGGGAGCTTGCTTTATATCTTTAAAGTTAAATCAACACATCCAACAGTTGCGTGCTTATGTCAGTTCTGCAAGTTTTAGCCAGGTAATCTACAGCTGAGACATTGTAATAGCAATTGATACTGCATTTAGTAAGAGATTCTTCAGAATCTATGTATTAGAAAACGCCAGCCAACCCCTAGAGGATCACTTGATTTTTCGGATCTATAGCCTTCCTGCTCATAAAACAAGAAAATTCTCTGAGTTTATTGAGCAATTTCTTTTTTTTTTTTTAATGTGGAAGTAAGAATGTTCCTCTTAAATACAGACTTACTTAGAATTTACTCATTTTTCATTACCCACTACTAACAGCACCTTCAACAAAATGTAATGTATTGTGACAATACCAAAATTGTATTCCCTTTCAGAAGAAGCGTTCTGAGATATTTAAATGTAGTACAAATGAAAACTGTGCACAAATCCTACATCTGTGTATTATCAAATACATTCAACATATTAGAACCCCTCCAGGCTCTTTCAGAAGTACAAGGAATTGTAGCAAGCAGAGACTTCTGGAAAATAGTCATAACAGGCAGTGCACACTTAGTTTTGCACCATCAGCCCTTACTCCTTTCATCCTAGATGCAGACAAGTGGCAAAGTCTCGTTCTGTGGGAGAGGCATCTCTTCAGGTGCGCTTGGGAAGCCAATTACAAGTTGCAACAGTGTTTTGATGTTTTGATTCAAATTTCATTATATGATATAAATATTATCATGAGGGGAAAGAAAATGCAAAACTGCATTTTTCTTGGATGAGGCTTTTAGCCCTTCCATGAATTTTAACTTGTTGAAACTTGCTACAATTTTATTAAGTTTTTACTGCACCTTCAAATAAATCATCCTGCTGAGTATTGAGGAAGGCAGTCTAGGGAGGCTAACGCTGTTAATTGTCACAGGCATTTGGCGTTAGTTCCCTTCATACAGTGCTGTCAGGGAGTCTATACAAAATACAACTTTGTTTCATAAAAAGTTTTATGAGCAGTTGGCTCAATGCTCTTACTCTAGTAAAATGACATCCTAGTATAAAAATCCTTGTTTTGAAGTGGGCTGAGGAAAGTTCTTTCATGAGAAGTTCTTTAACACTCTGTATGACTATCATATAGATATAGATCTAGATATAGATACGTAAGATAGATATATATGATTGCACTTTGTTACAAATCCACAAATTTGCAAATTTGAAAACATCAAAGAAACAGCCTTTCCCCCCCTCCCAGTATTAGATTGACTAATCAACTTTTAACTTAAAATTGAGTTTGTTAAAGTTAATTTTTGCTAGTTTCAGTCCTTTCTGGGAACAAATACCGTGTGAGAGGTCTTGGCTCTCTTGAAGTCAATGATTTAAGGGTACTACTGTTCCACAGAAGTGAAAGGTGTCAGTTTTCAACCGGGGCCGAGATTGCCTTATTACAGACTAGTTATTCATTCCAGTACAATCTTTCCCAGCTACACATCTTAAATATCTCCAAACCAGAGATCCTTGGGTAGTGAATTTAAGCTTGTTTGATAGCAGACTAGCTAGTGGGAAAAAAGTTGAAAACTGTTGCTGTAACTTTTTCTTTGTT